TATATAATAATTAACTATACTACTACTATACTATATATGTCTGATATATATATATATATATATATATATATACATATATATATATATATATATTACCCGGCTGTAATGCGGATATGCATAATCTACGCATGTCACATATGATCCCTACTTATACACACACAAACATACACACGTGTTTAGCACACACCTGCAATTTCTTGATCTTCTCGTCGTGGTATTGTGTGTAAATGTCGTTCTCCCCAAAGCAGAACACGGGCACCAAATTTGCGCTGCAAGACACGAACACGCGACAAGAAACGACGAACCAGAATGGGTAAGTGGGTCCCAAAAACGAAGAAAAAAAAGGCAAATCATTTGAAGACGGAAAACGTGGGAAGAATTGATACGTTGCAATGGAAGAAGCGGACATGAGACAAAACGCGACCGAGCAGAATGGTAAAACCATCCTAAAAATGAAGAATCTGGTAAATTATTTAGGGACAGATGGTGGCTAACACGTGGAAAGGACCGATAATTCATGAGACGAGACGCGACGGACCACAATGACAAATGCGTACAAAAAACCCCCCCAGAGGAAAGGAATGGACTATCACGTGGAAAGGACTAACAGAAAGGACGATGACTACAGGACAAGTAAAGTACAGGACAAGTAAGATACCTGACTTGGGATTAGTAAAGTACAGGGCTAGTAAGATACAGGACTAGGAAAGGATAGGACTCGTGAAGGACAAGATAGTTAAAACAACAGGATTAACAAAGGATAGAACTAGTAAAGGACAGGATAGTTAAAACAACAGGATTAACAAATGATAGGACTAGTAAAGGACAGGATAGTTAAAAATAACAGGATCAACAAAGGATAGAACTAGTAAAGGACAGGATAGTTAAAACAACAGGATTAACAAAGGATAGAACTAGTAAAGGACAGGATAGTTAAAACAACAGGATTAACAAATGATAGGACTAGTAAAGGACAGGATAGTTAAAACAACAGGATCAACAAAGGATAGAACTAGTAAAGGACAGGAGAGTTAAAACTACAGGATCAACAAAGGATATGACTAGTAAAGGACATAATAGTTAAAACAACAGGATTAACAATGGATATGACTAGTAAAGGACAGGATTGTTAAAACAATAGGATTAACAAAGGATGGAACTAGTAATGGACATGAGAGTTAAAACAACAGGATCAACAAAGGATAGAACTAGTAAAGGACAGGATAGTTAAAACAACAGGATTAACAAAGGATAGGACTAGTAAAGGACAGGGTAGTTAAAACAACAGGATTGACAAAGGATAGGACTAGTAAAGGACAGAACAGGGCTCAGAGACTACCATACACAGAACGCAGACAAAATCGCCGAAGAGGTTGTGCTTAAATCAGTAACACTCATAAAAACATAACAAATTAGCAATAGAGACCGTCATTGTCAGGAACTAAAACCGAACTTAAACATCGATGTTTGATGCCCATGAGAAAGCTATACTGTCTACCCTGCGAGTACATGCACACGTGTAGTATATATATATATATATATATACGCATACATACATACATACATACATACATACAGATATATATATACGTACATACATTCATACATTCATACATACATACATACATATATATATATATATATATATATATATATATATGCATACTATGTGCATGCATGCAATGCTTTTCTCTCAGCGCATTACTCACGCCGCCTGTGTGGTAATAAGCACATACGATATCAGATATATACCCACTCTTCAAGCACATATATACCTACCCTTCTCTCAGTGCAATCTTCACAAAGCCCTTGCGGCGACTCAGGGTGAGGTCGGCTGTCTTTGGCACGGCGTCCAGCGACTCAGCTGCACCGCCCAATACAATGGCCACACCCGAGCCAGGCCCTGCCCTGAGATTGGCGATGATGGACTGTCTGTGGGACAAGGGGGCGTACTTTGGTATTAATAACTCGAGTTATCGAGGGTTTGGTAAAAAGTATTGAATGTCCAATAGTATGAGGCGTCAGGACCCCTGAGGGACCAAAATAGTCCCACGAAAACTTCACCCAGCTAGACGCAAACACTAAAGAAAATGATGTTCTAGCTAGTAGTAGACTGGTAAAAACAAAGCATCGTATGGATGGTATATCAGCCCTGACCAATACGTTTCCCGATTGAATAACGGAAACAATCCCGTCAAACAGCCTTGTCATCGCTCACAATAGAAAGCAATAGATCCAAAACTCAAAATGTGCACAGACAGACAGTGCGGTTGCACCGATGCATAGTATCACAGACAGGCAGTGCGGTTGCACCGATGCATAGTATCACAGACAGACAGTGCGGTTGCACCGATGCATAGTATCACAGACAGACAGTGCGGTGGCACCGATGCATAGTATACCACCAAGGGATAGTCGACTCCTGCTATAAATAACTACTACCTACCTACTGACCGATACTAGTCCGACAGACATTAGCAGCTCGCGCATGATGGGGTAGGTAAAGTTTGAGGTCAGCGTGCACAGACTAATCCTTAAACCGGGAAACTTATCGCTGAAACCGGTTGCTTCAGAGCAGAAGTTAATCATGGCGCCAACACTGATGATGCCTGTATTAAATGAGAGTGACGGATGAATGGGGGGGGAAACAGAGGGTGGATAGGAGAGGAAGAAAAATTAGGCAAAAGACTGTCCCGTATTATATTTTAATATAATGATAATAGTAAGAATAATAATAACAAACATAATAACAATAATAATAATGAAAATATCAAGAATAATAATAATAATAATAAAACTGAGAAAATAATAAAAACAATAATATACTCGGAATGATAGACATATATATATATATATATAATAAAAACAATAGCAATAACAACAATAATAATAGCGAAATTAATAATAATATTAACAATCATAACAATGATGCAAATAACATAAATAAAAACAAAAACAATAACGATGACAACATTACTTATACCAATAACAATTATAATGATAATAGCAATAACAATGATGCAAATAATAACAATAGTAGTAGTACAGATCGGGACCAGACATACCATGTGGATGATAACCAAAGATATAGTTTTTGGTGGGATCGATGTCAGCCTCCTTCACCAGTACACAGGGGAAGTAATCACTGAAGTAGTTCCAGTAGGATAGGCGCCTGCAGAAGGTAACCCGACAGAATATCAAGTTATGAATAGTACAATAGTATGTTATGATAAATACAATAGTAAGTTATGAATATCAGAATATAAAGTTATGAATAATAGATCAGTAAGTTATGAATAATACATTAGTAAGTCATGAATAATAGATTAGTAAGTTATGAATAAGACATTAGTAAGTTATGAACAATAGATTAGTAAGCTATGAATATTAGAATAATAAGTTATGACTAATAGAATAATAGGCTATGAATATCAGAATAGGTTGTGAATAATAGACTAGTAAGATACGAATAGGCAAAGGCAGATGATAGGAATGGATTATGAATTCAGGAGAGAGAGAGTATCACATCCACATCAGCACTTGTGAAGCGAACCTCATACAAAGTAATCGAGTGCGGTGGACGAGTGCCCTTGGCAACTGAACTAACGCTTTTTGTACTATGGGAAATATAGTACGCACATATCCATGGGTGCCATGGCAACTAGACTGAGGCTGTTTGTACTATGGAAAATATAGTACGCACATATCCATGGGTGCCATGGCAACTAGACTAAGGCTGTTCGTTCTATGGAAATATAGTAAGCACATATCCATGGATGTCATGACAACTGAAATAAGGGTGCAAGAACTATCTTAAACGGTCGTGCGCACATATCTCTGCTGGCTGGCTTACCTCATATAATCAAAACGTCGACCGCCCTCGTCATGAGCATTATCTATGAGCCAGTATACAATGTACGGTATCAGTATGACCCACAGAGGCGGGAAGCACAGACATACGACGAATATGATGATGCTGATGGGCATCATCCACCAGAAGGAAGTAACCGCGACCGTCTGGGAGTGTGGTGGCAGATGTGCGTCAGTTGTCGTATGGGTGTCATAGGGTGTCATAGTTTGGTCAAAGAGAAGGCCAGTACACATTCAGGAACAGAGGGGTTTGCACGGCAGATAGATAGTCCAATACTGACATTACATACGAATCTGTATAAACCCACACAGAAATATATAATGAATCAGAAATGCATGCATAGGAATAACTCCGGATCAATTTCAGCGCCATAGGCAGGTCCAACACCAAATACACAGTACACAATGAGAGTTTGTTCAAATAACCTGTAATCGCCGAGCCCTGGGCAGGTTGGCCGGGGCCAGGTTCACACCTCTCTGTAAGTTTGTGTGTTGCTTGTGCGTGTTGGTGGTGCTATTGGCAACAACCTCATGCACCATCTTCACATTCTCTTCGTGCTGATAGCGGGAGAAGAAATGGGATAGTTGATGAGAATAAATATAGATCAAACACAAATGAATGTGTAGCAGCTTGGACTATGAAAATCTCAGAAAACAAACAGACGATATTTAAACTAAATATCGCATTGAAAATAGTGTTAAATACCTACGTGATGTATATACTACAATTGCCAACCCGCTATGTGTCACATGATATATACAAATACATATATACACCTAACCCGATATATGTCGCATTATATATACAAATGCATAAATACACGTACATTCCCTCATACGTTATCAAAAGAGTACATATATACCGATATACACACACATATATATATACAATAACAAAAGGGACACAGACAGAGACACAAAAAAGGTAAAAAACATATATATACACTAACACTAATACACACACACACAATATATATATGTATATATATATATATATATATATTATATATATATATATATATATATATATATATATGTACGTAGTGTTNTNTATATATATATATATATATATATATATA